TGTGGAAAACATATGACATTTTTGCAGACACAAGACTACACCTGGACCAGTCACATCTGTCATTCACATGTATTTATGTGAAGTTAAAGCCTATGTTTAAAATTCCAGAAATAATTCATAAGTCTTAAGATTGAATGCAGTTCCAAGTACCATGATGAAACTTGTGCTATCCTGCCTGCGACATGAACTGTTCCTTTTTCCACAGTATCCACACTTTATACACCACCAGCCCATTAGTCACTTAGTAGCCTTCTCATCAACCAGTGTAGTGTATACAGGGCTCAGTGCTGTCAGCAGTTTCAGGCATCCACTGGGGGCCTTACAGTATATTCCCCTCAGATAATGGGGACTATCTAACTGCTGTAAACAGCTCATGATAATACTGTATCAGCCGTCAATTCAAATATGCAGAAAATGATGAAAATCTTTGTATAATAATTAAGAAGTTTTATTTGTTTTTTGAGACAGATTCTTGCTCTGTTGCCCAGGCAGTGGTGATATCCCTGTTCACTGCAACCTCCGCCTCACAGGTTCAAGTGATTCTCCCACCTCAGCCTCCCAAGAGTTTAAGATTCCTGAGAAGTGGGCCAGGGACAGTGGCTCACACTTGTAATCCCAGCACTTTGGGAGGCTGAGGCAGGCAGATCAAGAGGTCAGGAGTTCAACTGAGCGTGGTGGCTCACGCCTGTAATCCAAGCACTTTGAAGGCCAAGGCGAGCAGATCACCTGAGGTCGGGAGTTCAAGACCAGCCTGACCAACATGGTGAAACCCTGTCTTTAAAAAAAAAAAGAGGTCAGGAATTCAGACCAGCCTGGCCAACATGGTGAAACCCCATCTCTACTAAGAAATAGATTGCCGGGCACGGTGACTCATGCCCGTAATCCAAACACTTTGGGAGCTCAAGGCAGGCAGATCATTTGCAGTCAGGAGTTTGAAACCAGCCTGACCAATATCTACTACAGCCTGACCCCATCTCTACTAAAAATAGAAAAAAGTAACCGGGCATGGTGGTGCACACCTATAGTCCCAGCTACTCGGGAGCCTGAAGCAGGAGAATCGCTTGAACTCAGGAGACAAAGGTTGCAGTAAGCTGAGATCACGCCACTACACTGCAGCGTGGGTGACAGAGCAAGACTCCATCTCAAAAATAAATAAATAAATAAAATTTAAAAACTGACAGTGTAAATTAGGGTTTCTCAACCTCAGCACTATTGACATATTGACAATGAGTCTGGATAACTGTTGTGGGGGGCTATCCTATGTACTATAGGCTATTGAGCAGCATCCCTGGACTCTACCCACCAGACACCAGTAACACTCCCCACACAGGCTGTAACACCCAATGTCTCCAGCCATTGCTAAATGTCCCAGAGGCAAGAAGAGGCAATATCACCCTAGGTTAAGAACCACTGAGTAGAGCCAGCCTTGGTGGTCATTCTTAAATGTTCTAAAAACAAAGTAACCAGAGTTACAGAAATACTTTGCTGAGTATATTCATGTATGACTCAGGGTAAAATTATGACCTGAGTTTTCCGGAATCCTTATAAAACAATCATATTCTCTAAAGGGCAAGAGCAACACACCCAAAACAGAGGCATACCATTTTTATGCCTTGTTCTTGCTGGCAGTCTTTAAGGTTTCTAACTGACAGATGAAGCCAGAGAAAACATCATCACAGGCAAGAGTAAATATACTAAGACCTTAGCCAACTCTAGAACTGGGTGTGGTTCCTTCTCGTGGTGGGGGGGAGGGGTGCTTTTATAGATTCTGTCTTGTCTTAAGGCAGTCATTGTGCTGGTAGATACGCTGCAATACATTTAAGGCTGTTTCAGTGAAAATACTATTTAAAGCCAATTAACCAGAATACTGGGCAAATTTTATATTTGTCTGTTGTAGAAAATCTTTTTTGCCTTGGCACCGAAGGCCGAACAAAACCATATTTTTTTGTTGTTGTTGACTAAGGATTGTGTAATGCTTCATAGATATAGGAAAATCATCTATGACTAAACAGTTTTGAAGATTCAGAAAATGCAAAGAAACAGCTGAATCTGAAAATGATGCCAGGCTATATCACGAGTGAAAAAAAGAAACCCTTTTTAATAGAAAGAGCTCAGTGTATCTCTTTCCTAAACATAAGAATGCCACCAAAGGTTTTAATTAGCTGTGTTCCAGTTAAGTAAGGATTTCTTTCCTTCCTTCCTTCCTTCTTTCCTTCTTTCCTCTTTCTTTCCTCCTTCCTTCCTTCTTCTTTCTTTCCCTTTCTTTCTTTCTTCTTTCTCTTTCTCTCTCTCTCTCTCTGTCTTTCTTCCTTTCTTAGACAAGGTCTCACTCTGCTGCCTAGGCTGGATGGAATGCAGTAGCAAACAAGGCTCATTGCAGCCAACTTTTCCTGGGCTCACTCCATCCTCTCACCTCAGCCTCCTGAGTAGCGGGAACTACAGGCACAGGATACCACCTTGGCTAAATTTTTAAAATTTCTGTGGAGAGGGGAGTCTCACCATGTTGCCCAAGCTAGCTGTTCGTGAACTCCTGAGCTCACAGGATCCTCCTGCCTCGGTCTCCCAAAGTGCTGGGATTACAGGCGTGAGCCACGACGCCCGGCCAAGTTAAGAATTTCCTAATTAGCCCCTACTATACCAGGAAACCTATCTTCTAATTGTTAACATACTTCAGCTGTGAAATACATCTAACATGTTCTAACAATCGAAATGTCATGCAACTGGGCCAGGCGCGGTGGCTCTCGCCTGTAATCCCAGCACTTTGGAAGGCCAAAGCAGGCGGATCACCTGAGGTCAGGAGTTCAAGATAAGCCTGACCAACATGGCAAAACCCCGTCTCTAATAAAAATACAAAAATTAGCCAGGCATGGTGGTGGGCGCCTGTAATCCCGACTACTTGGGAGACTGCAGCAAGAGAATCACTTAAACTCGGAAGGTGGAGGTTGCAGTGAGCCCAGATTTCACCACTGCACTCCAGCCTGGGTGACAGAGCGAGACTCTGTCCTAAAAAAAAAAAAAGAAATACCATGAAAAATCATTTTTTTAAAGAAATATAGAACACCTACTTCTCAATACAAATATTGATAGTTACAAATTATACTTCTTATAAAATAACAAACTGTAAATAACCACCTATAGGGATATACTAGTAAGCCATGTAGAATTACTGGGAAATTTTAACTGTTTTCTGTTCCCTGAAGAAATGTTATCAGATTCTGTGAGTGGGACTGAAGCAGAGGCTGGTTTTCAAAATCCTGGATGATTCTAATGTGCACAGTAGGGTTGAGACCACACCTCCAGGGCAAATGATATAGATATATATATATAGATATATATATATATGTTTATACTTTCTTTTTTTTTTTGAAACAGGTTCTTGCTGTTGCCCAGGCTTTTTTCTTTTAAATATAAGCTTTCCTCTCACTTTTTCCCCTTGATATTTTTTAGACTAAGTTCCCAGAATCTCAAAGATAACTTAGGAAAATGTTTTAAAATTCAGACAAACCTTAAAATGTACTTTGTTACTTGAACTCTTTCTCAATATGAGACAGAAGGCCATAAAAAAACTTTCACCAGGCATGCCAGTCATTATGGATAAATTCTAAACCAGTTCTCAAACAAGTTCACACACATCTAGGATTCCCTCAGGTACTTCATGGGAATCTTAAATGAGTATGTGACCAAGCTGTTAATAATGACTACCTTTGGGGAATCAGGGAGGTTGAGAGAACTTTCCATTTCTTGCTGATACAATTATCTGTTATTTCACTTTTTTTTTTTTTTATACAGGGTCTCCCTCTGTTACCGGGGCTGGAGTGCAGTTGTGAAATCCCAGGTCACTACAACCTCCACCTCCCACGTTCAAGCAATTCTAGCGCCTCAGCCTCCTGAGTAGCTGGGATTACAAGCCCACGCACTACAACCCTGTTAATTTTTGTGTACTTAGTAGAGGCTGGGTTTCACCATATTGGTTAGGCTGGCCTCGAACTCCCAACCTCAGCTGATCTGCCTGACTTGGCCTCTCAAAGTGCAGGGATTAGAGGCATGAGCCACCATGCCCAGCCTCATTTTCGATAAACTAGTTTGAGTATACTCTTTCCTCTGATTGCTGCCCCCAAAAAGCATGCATATGTTGCACTGTTGAAAAACAATTTTTCAAAAGCTTATCTAAGGCCAAGAGCAGTGGCTCAGGCCTGTAATCCCAGCACTCAGGGAGGACGAGGAGGGCTGATCACTTGAGGTCAGGAGTTCCAGACCAGCCTGGCCAAATGGTGAAACCCTATCCTTACTAAAAATACTAAAATTAACCACGTGGTGGCAAACACCTGTAATCCCAGCTACTCCAGAGGCTGAGGCAGGAGAATCACCTGAACCCAGGAGGTGGAGGTTGCAGTGAGCCAAGATCGAGCCATTGCACTCCAGCCTGGGCAAAAAGAGCAAAATTCCACCTCAAAAAAGAAAAGAAAATTAAGCTAGTACACATCATGACATCTATCCACTGTTATTTCTCCTATTTCATGAAACCTACTATAATGAGGTAGTGAACTATGTAATAAAATAATGGGCAGGGCACAGTGGCTCATGCCAGTAATCCCAGCACTTTGGAAGGCCGAGGTAGGTGGATCACCTGAGCTCAGGAGTTCAAGACCAGCCTGGCCAACATTGTGAAATCCTGTCTCTACCAAAAACACAAAAATTAGCTGGGTGTGGTGGCGGACATCTGGAATATCAGCTACTCTGGAGGCTGAGGCAGAACTGCTTAAAGCCAGGAGGAGGAGGTGAGCCGATATAGCTCCACTGCACTCCAGCATGGATGACAAGAGCGAAACTCTGTTTCAAAAAATAATACTAAAATAAAATAATGTGCTGGACCACTGCAATACTGAGATCCTTCTCAACCAAGTGTTTACAGATGTTAAAGCGGCAACAGGAATTTCTCCAGTACAACCTAATCTCGGTGGGAATTGAAAAAAAAAAAGCACGAATTTGAATTTGAGTACCTATGTTGCAACGCTGAATTCTTGACAGGAACTAGTACTCCGTAGGTTATGCTTCTTAAATCTCCAAAAATTAGCCAACATGTGAAATTGTACATTTTTGGTCCATTATTCCAAGACTTTCACAAAACGTTTCATTGCCTCGTATTTGAATCTGAGAACTGAGACTCGTTTAAAAATTCTTCACTGTTCTTTCTGCCTTTCGATTTTGCAAGTGAAAAACGGTCATTTCAACAGCACACAGATTACACTAGAATAAAGCTAAGTTAAATGACAGATTAAATCAGATCCATGAATACACAGTGACCCCTTATTTGATTTTACTTAATACTTTTACTGGTTTGTGTCTTCAGGAAAGCAAAAAAACAACGTACTGTGTGCCAAAAGTACTTACTAAAAGAACTTACTAAAAACCAATTTAGGCCAATTCTTTATAGCGTTAAGTGTGGGTTGAAAACCAACTTTCCTAATACTTGTGGTCAGTGCCTCAAGGTCGTTAGGATAAAAATAAAACTTCCAAGACACTTCGCAGCCTTCCAGCGCTTCCAGAAAGACCGAACAAACCAGCATCCACCTTCCAGCTCCATCTGGGCCCCGATATCCCGGCCCGAGAGCGCACCGAGTGCCCGGGCACGGAGGGGCAGCGCCTCGGGGCGCCCGGCTCTGCCCAGGGCGGGGCTCGGCGGGGCCGCAGCTTCGGACGCCACCCGGGGGACCATCGGCCCTTGGGCCGCCCGGGGCAGGCGCGGGGGCGTCCAGGGGAGGCAGCAGCCCAGAGGAGGAGGCGCTGGGGAGCCACCGGCAGCACCCGGGCCCGAGCCCTGACGGCGACCACCCCCGGCCGAAGGCTAAGGAAGGCGCCGTCCTCGCTAGACCAGCCGGGCCCGAAGAAGAGCCCCGATCATAAATTCGGAGACCGAGGGACCCCGGCGAGGGACGCGAGGTCCCAGCCCCGGGACGAGGAAGGGCGGTGGCGCGGGCGGGGGAACTCCTCGGAGCTACAGCAGGGAGGGCGGCGGGGGTGGCGGTGGAGCGATCCGGGGAGAATCGGGCACCTCACCTGCTCCTCTCGAGGCAGCTGCTGCCACTCGCTGAGGGGACAACATGGAGCCTCCGCCTTCAAAGCAGAAGCAGTAGGGGTGCAGAGGAGAGGGACGGGTATGGGCGGGAACAAACCGGGCCCTGGAAGCGGGAAACGGGCGGAGCCTGGGCTCTAGAAGAAACTAGCGAGAAGGTGGGGCGCGCGGAGCAGCGACGAAGCGAGCACAGGGCGGTAGGCGACACCCAACAGTCAGCCCGGGGCGTGGCGGGAAAGCGCACGCGGCGAAATCCCGCCACCGCCCGCCGCGTGTGCGCGCCCGCGGGAGCACGGAGCGAACCACCGACTACTTGTTGGCGGGGCGCCGGGTGCTACGATCATTTGGGAATTGTAGTCCCGCGCTCACTGGGTCCCGACCAGCGGTCCCCCATACTGCGCACTCATCTGGGGCGGGACTTGGCGCGGTTCTCCGACGACTGAACTACAACTCCCAGCAGGCCGTGCGGGAAGGGGCGGGCTGGCCCGGGTCCTCCTGAGAGCCCCGGCCGACGCCTGGCATGCAGACCAGGCCACGGGCCGAGGCTTCAGCCTCGAGATCCGCGTGTGTGAGATGGCTTCGGTGTTTAAATAGGCCTGGGAGCACATGGGCGGCAGAAGGGAGGCCTCAACCCTGAATGGCATGAACGTCACAGGGTCTTGAATGATTTTGACTTCATAAGGGCTGGTGGCCATGACTTCATTACCACCTTTGTTATCATTTCCCTATATTCCTATCCCTGGCCAGGGCTGATGTGCACCGTCACCACTGTAATAGCTAATGTAAGAAATCCAGGCCAGGCGCGGTGGCTCACGCCTGTAATCCCAGCACTTTGGGAGGCCGAGGCAGGATTGCTTGGGCTCCAGTGTTCAAGACCAGCCTGGGCAACATGATGAAATCCCGTCTCTACAAATTATACAAAAATTATCTGGGCATGGTGGCGCACGCGTCTAACCCCAGCTACTAGGGAGAGTAAGGCGTGAAACTCGAGAATTGCTTGAACTCAGGAGGCAGAAGTTGCTGTGAGCCGAAATCGCACCACTACATTTGAGCCTGGGCTGCAGGACGAGACTGTCTCAAAAAAAAAAAAAAAAAAAGGCCTGGCGCAGTGGCTCACGCCTGTAATCCCAGCACTTTGGGAGCCGAGGTGGGTGGACCACAAGGTCAGGAGATTGAGACCATCCTGGCCAACATGGTGAAACCCCGTCTTTACTAAAATACAAAAAAACTTGCCAGGCGCGGTGGCTCACGCCTGTAATCCTAGCACTTTGGGAGGCTGAGGTGGGTGGATCACCTGAGGTCAAGAGTTCAAGACCAGCCTGGCCATCATGGTGAAACCCCATCCTTAAAAAAATAAAATAAAATACAAAAAACTAGCGGGGCGTAGCAGCGTGTGCCTGTAATCCCAGCTACTCAGGAGACTGAGGCAGGAGAATTACTTGAACCCGGGAGGCAGAGGTTGCAGTGAGCCGAGATCATGCCACTGCACTCAAGCCTGAAGACATAGCAAGACTCCATCTCAAAAAATATATAAATAAATAATAAAAGTCCAGTGAGACCTCTTCCACTGACTTTGTCCAGCCTAAGCCAGCACCATCTTTTGTAAACAGGTCACAGGAGCTTGTTTTGAAGCTGCTTTTCCAAGCACACTTTTCCTTAAACTGTGTGGGTAGATCAGTACAAAAGAAGATGCTTGTATTCATACTTCGCATGTGATTGGGAACATGTAATTTGCCACAGTTGAAGAATATTGGTTTCTGAGTTTGGTGGAAATGGAAGGGGTTGTCCTGGAGAAAAGTAGCTGGTGGAGCTTACTGGAAGCTAAAGCATCTATCCCCACCCCAGCCCCAACCACCACCTCTTAACATCACCATTGCCTCAGACATTCAACAAAGTCCATTTTCTTATTTCTGCCTCTGCCTTCATCATTCTAATCTACCCTCCTTCCTGCTACCTCTAGACCCTGTCAAGCCCACTGCTACTTTCTATTTGCAGAGTGATTCGGCCAAAGGTGAATAGGTGAAGATGAGGACCTAAAGAGGTCCTGTTTGATTTCCTTTCTCCTGCCACTTCTTATTCTCCCCAAATTCTCAACATTGTTGAATACCCTCTTTCGTGCTTTAGAGGTACTATACGTTAGATCTAGGCCAACTTCGGCCAGCAAGAGACTAGAAGTGAATTTCAGGGCAAGTGGTTACTGGAATTTCACACTGAATGTGCAGAAGGCAGGACCTACAGGATATGACAAAAATTCAGGACATATGTGACATGCTCAGAGAAAGGAGAGGCCAAAAGCCAATGACTTGTCACAATTGCAGCACATTATGTAAGAATTTTAAATTGCACACACATCCCAGCATTCTGTTTATTTTCCCTGCATTACTTTTCTCCAAAAGACTTCATACTGCTTGGCCAGGCTCGGTTGCTCACGCCTGTAATCACAGCACTTTTGGAGGCCGAGGCAGGTGGATCACCTAAGGTTGGGAGTTCAAGACCAGCCTGGCTAACAGGTGAAACCTCATCTCAACTGAAAATGCAAAATTAGCTGGGTGTAGTGGCATGCACCTGTAATCCCAGCTGCTCAGCAGACTGAGGCAGGAGAATCACTTGAACCTGGGAGGCAGAGGTTGCAGTGAGCCAGGATGGCACCACTGCACTCCAGCCTGAGTGACAGAGTAAGACTCCATCTCAAAAAAAAAAAAAAAAAAAGGCCAGGAGCAGTGGCTCATTCATGTAATCCCAGCACTTTAGGAGGCCGAGGCAGGTGGATAACCTGAGGTCAGGAGTTCGAGACTAGCCTAGCCAACATGGTGAAACCCTGTCTCCACTAAAAATACAAAAAATTAGCCAGACATGGCAGTGGGTGCCTGTAATCTCAGCAACTCAGGAGGCTGAGGCAGGAAAATCACTTGAACCCAGGAGGCAGCAGTTGCAGTGAGTGGAGATTACACCACTGTACTCCAGCCTGGGAGAGAGAGACTCAGAGTCAAAAAAAAAAGACTTCATACCTTCATACTTACGTTTTACCTTTTGTTGTGATTGTCTCGTCCCACTAGAACGTTAGTTCCGAACAGGAATTTTTGTCCATTTTGTTCACTATGTTCACCACTATATCCCCTGTACCTAAATATTGCTGGCAGATAATAGAGACTCAAATATCTATTGATATATAATGGATGAAGAAGTTATATGTTACATCTAACACTGCTCACTCACTTTCTGGCTCCCTTAATATTAAATACCTAACTTTTGCTATTGAACAAAATACCCTAGTTTATTTTAAGGGCTCCCCAGAGATTCACTGAAATCCAGCTCCTCAGGAAGTGAACAGCAAATACTGACCTATCTGTCTCAGTATTACATCATCAAGGTCAATGTTAGCACATCAGCCTTCCCCATACCTTTTAGAGAGGCTTTTGGCATTCGGAAGAACACAGTACAAATTCTAGGTGGACTTAAGGATTAGTCGAAGCTTAGAAAGCAACCCCTGTAAATGAGAAACACTTGTTGTTGTTATTTCCTTCTCAAATACCCAGGATCATCAAAACAGTTGACACTGAAAATGCCAAATATTGATGATACTGATTACAGCCTGCCTTCAGCCATCTCACTCTGAACTGAGTCATGTGCTGTGATCAGAGGTTGAGCTTTCCTTGAGGTTTTCCAGAAGTAGGTGACATGTAGACATATTTGAGTGGTTAAGATCACTGGCTTTGGGGTCAGACTTACCTATCTCTGAGTTTTGGCTCTGATGTTCACTAGCTATGCAACATTGAGTGAGTTACTTAACCTCTCTGAACCCATTTCATCTTCTGCAAAATGATTTAAAGAGCCACACAGTTGTTCTAGACTAAGTGAGCTGTGTTTGGGAATGGTAACTGTGTGGTTAGTGATCAAAATTAGTAATCAGCATATCATTCTGGAAAAGCAAAACAAAGTCATAAACATTCAAGATACTCAAGTGGTTTATGAAACACAAAAATAGCAAAATTGTTTTCTGCAATGGCATTCACCATGACTCAGGTTCCAAAGCTTTCCAAAAATAGGGCATTTGTTTTCCACGTACCATGATAGGTCGTGATGCTGCATAAGACACATTCCTATCCTCCAGAGACTCACAGTCTTGTGGTGTAAACGGCTGAGGACATATCATTGGCTGTGGCTGTTCTGGGGCACAGTTCAGCCTTCTACCATCTATGTGCAGGATCAGTATTTACGCAACTTGGAAGGGACAGGTTGGAATACCACATCCCTGGGCATCATTTACAGTTCCATACCTTATTTTGCTTGTGTGTTAAATGGGGCAATGATTTGGCATCTTCGTTTAAAAAAAAAAAAAAGGGCAGGGCGAGGTGGCTCACGCCTGTAATCCCAGCACAGGCATTACTGTGCAGAGGCTGGTGGATCACAAGGTCAGGAGATCAAGACCATCTGGGCCAATATACAGAAAAATTAGCTGGGCGTGGCAGCGCACGCCTGTAGTCCCAGCTACCCGGAGGCTGAGCAGGAGAATTGCTTGAACCCAGAAGGCAAAGATTGAAGTGAGCAGAGATCATACCACTGCACTACAGCCTGGGTGACAATTCAAGACTCCATCTCAAAAAAAAAAAAAAAAATAGCCAACTTCACTTGATATGGTGTTATAAGGTTGAATATTAGGTCCTCAACATGGTAACACAGTAAAAGCTTAAGACTTTATCAGCTACTTCATTATTGGTATTTCAGCCAACAGTACAACTGTCTAACCAGGAGGATCGTTTGAGCCCAGGAGTTCAAGACCAGTGTGGGAGCCAAGTGCGGTCGCTCACACCTGTAATCCCAGCACTTTGGGAGGCCAAGGCAGGTGGATTGCCTTATATCAGGGGTTTGAGACCAGCCTGGCCAATATGATGAAACCCCATCTGTGCTAAAATACAAAAAATTAGCCAGGCATGGTGCCAGGCGCCTGTAATCCCAGTTACTTGGGAGGCTAACACAGAATTGCTGGAAGCCGGGAGGCAGTGGTTGCAGTGAGCTGAGATTGCGCCATTGCATCCAGCCTGGGCAACCAGAGCAAAATTCCATCTTGAAAAGAAAAAAAAACCACCAGTCTGGGCAACATAGGGAGATCTCATCTCTACCAAAAATAAGCAAATAAATTAGCTAGGTATAGTGGGGCACCTGTGGTTCCAGTTACTTGGGAGGCTGAGGTGGGAGGATTGCTTGAGCCCAAGAGTTAGAGGATGCAATGAGCCATAATTGTACCACTGCATTGCAGCCTAAGCAACAGAGCAAAACCCTACCTCAAAAAAAAAAAAAAAAAAAAAAAAAACAAGGTGGGGGAGTTCAGTGGTTCATGCCTGTAATCGCAGCACTTTCGGAGTCTGAGTCTGAGTTCGGCAGATCACTTGAGGTCACAAGTTCAAGACCAGCCTGGCCAACATAGTGAAACACTTTATCTACTAAAAATACAAAATTAACCAGGCATGGCAATACATGCTTGTACTCCCAGCAACATTGGAGGCTGAGGCAGGGGGATGGCTTGAACCCATGAGTCAGAGGTTGCAGTGAGCCGAGATCATGCCACCACTGCACTTTAGCCTGGATGACAGAGTGACTCCATCTCAAAACAAAACAAAACAAAAGGCGGTGGGGATGAGGCTACAGATTTGCTATATTTACCTTTGCTTATGTTTGCCACAAGAAAATCCTAATAGTAGCTACCTATTATGTGCATAGAGGAGTGGAGGAAGTTAGTGATAAAACTACAGCATATGTATTTCTGAATATTTGTGTACATATATATGAATGATCTGTGACTGTATATCAATTTTTTTTTGAGATGGAGTTTCACTCTATTGCCCAGGCTGGAGTGCAGTGGCCTCCACCTCCCAGGTTGAAGTGAGAGTCTCCTGCCTCAGCCTCCCAGGCAGCTGGGACTACAGGTGTGTGCCACCACACCCAGCTAATTTTTTTGTATTTTTAGTAATTTTTTCTAAAAGTCAAGCAAACATAGGGCAATGAGATGGCCTAGAAGCTAAACTGGGAAATTATCTGTATAGGCCGGGCACAGTGGCTCACACCTTTAATCCCAGTACTTTGAGAGAAGGGCCGATCACCTGAGGTCAGGAGTTCGAGATCAGCCTAGCCAACATGGTGAAACTCCGTCTCTACTAAAAATACAAAAATTAGCTGGGTGTGGTGGCGTGCACCTGTAATCCTAGCTACTGGGGAGGCTGATGCAGAATTCCTTGAACCCAGGAGGCAGAAGTTGTGTGAGCTGAGATTGTGCCATTACACTCCAGTATGGGCGACAACAGCAAATCTGTTTTTTAAAAAAAAGAAATTATCTGTATAAAATAGCAGTCCAGGCCAGGAGCAGTGGCTCACACCTGTAATCCCAGCACTTTGGGAGGCTGAGGCGGACAGATCACGAGGTCAGGAGATCGAGACCATCCTGGCCAACATGGTGAAACCCCATCTCTACTAAAATACAAAAAGTTAGCCAGGCATGGTGGCACGTGCCAGTAATCCCAGCTACTCAGGAGGCTGAGGCAGGGGAATCATTTGAACCCAGGAGGCGGAAGTTGCAGTGAGCCAAGATCAAGCCACAGCACCCCAGCCTGGTGACAGAGCAAAACTCTATCTCAAAAAAATAAAATAAAATAAATAAAAAGAGACCTAGGCCAGGTGGGGCGGCTCATGCCTGTAATCTCAGCACTTTGGAAGGCTGAGGCGGGTGGATCATGAGGTCAGGAGTTCAAGACCAGCCTGGCCAAGATGGTGAAACCCCATCTCTACTAAAAATACAAAAATCAGCGGGGCATGGTGGTGGATGCCTGTAATCCCAGCTACTACAGAGGCTGAGGCAGAGAATTGCTTGAATCCAGGAGGGTAAGGCTGCAGTGAGTCGAGATTGCACCATTGCATTCCAGCCTGGGCAGCAGAGCAAGACTGTCTCAAAAAAAAAAGACCTACAGGAGTTTCTCAGGTGTTCAAGGAAACTTCCGAGAAATGACCATAATCCAGTGAGCACTTTATTTTATTTTATTTTATTTTTCAAGATGAGGTCTTGCTATATTGTCCAGGCTCATCTCGAACTTCTGGGCTCAAGTGATCCTCCTGTCTTGGCCTCTCAAATTGCAGGGATTAGAGGAATAAGCCACCATGCCATCCAGTGAGCAATTAAAAAATCCCATCTTGGGTGGGGTGTGGTGCCTCACCCCTGTAATCCCAGCACTTTGGGAGGCCAAGGCAGGCAGATCACAAGGTCAGGAGTTCGAGACCAGCCTGGCCAATATGGTAAAACCCCGCATCTACTAAAAATACAAAAAGTAGCCAGGCATGGTGGTGCATGCCTGTAGTCTCAGCTACTTGGGAGGCTGAGGCAGAAGAATCGCTTGAAGCCAAGAGGCAGAGATTGCAGTGAGCTGAGATTGCACCACTGAACTCCAGCCTGGGCAACAGAGTGAGATTCTGTCTCAAAAAAACAAATCCCAGCACACAAAGAGCCAGCGCACACACCGGCTCCAAGAAGAAAAAGAAAGAAAAAGAAAAAAAAATACACATACATAGAAGAAATCATATATACAAATAAGCAAATAGCTCAAGCAAGAATCAGTCTCAAGGAAGTAGCCTGATACAGCAAGCAAGAGAAAGCAGAAAGGAAATATACCTTTAGGAATTAGACTAAACATAAGGGCTTCTTATGTAAAAAAAAAAAAGGGTCTAAAAGACAAGTAAGACCACATGCATATCTTGCTTATTAACTTCTCTGCTTCTAGTTGTTAGAAAAATGGACTTCCTTCTAATTTTTTCTTTTTTTGCTCTTATTACCCAGGCTGGAGTGCAATGGCATGATCTCAGCTCACCACAACCTCTGCCTCCTGGGTTCAAGCAATTCTCCTACCTCAGCCTCCCAAGTAGCTGGGACTACAGGCTGCACCACAATGCCCAGTTAAGTTTTTGAATTTTTAGTAGAGACGGGGTTTCACCATGTTGACCAGGATAGTCTCCATCTCTTGACCTAGTGATCCACCCGCCTCGGCTTCCCAAAGTACTGGGATTATAGGCGTGAGCCACCGTGCCTGGCCAAAATGGACTTCCTTCTAGCTAGAGTCTCTAGATTGTAGCAAGTGCTGTCAGAGTTAGGTACCAGCATCACTTATTTCCTTATCTGGCACCTAATAATGTAGATTTGTTTTGTTTTAAGGAGCAGAGAGTTTAATAGGCAAGAAAGAAGGACAGAAGAAGAAAACAGTTTCCCCAATAATGTGAATTTTTAAAAAAGTGTATGCATGTATCAGAATGGGTAGATAACTGGCTTATCAGATCTGCTATTACTTCCCTTTGCCATCTAAGAGACAGTTTGCTGCATTATCAGCTGATGCTGTAAGTGCCAGGGTAAGATATTAGCCATAAAGTTATTTTAGGAAATATTTTTCTATGCCTTTTTCAGAGCATTGCAAAGGCCAGGAGTCATCCTCCCACCCCCTGGGGCTTTACTTGACCTTAAAAACTCAAGGGCAGATGTAGTACACCGCTTGTTGTAGAAGATTTCCACTGGTCAGATCGCCTTTCCCCTCCGTGGCAGCCTGGCTGACCACCTCCCCCTTTATGAGGTTGCATCTTTGCAGGATCTGCTGATCATGCAATTGCACTTTGGGTCATCGATTGCTGCTTTAGCAGTAACAGTTGACAGCCTTGATTTTTATTATTTTCAGGATACAGTCCTCCTTTAAAAAAACCACTATTCACCTTTCAAATATTTTGACCAGATGTGGGAAGAAGGCTTTGAATTTGACAAGCCAGCCCAGGAAAAGCAAAAAATGAACGAAATCCAATATAGCCCAGAAATCTGGTTTTAAATACATGTTCTACTAAGGACCCCTTTTGGTCTATGAATAAAATTCAGTTATGTGCATTTTGTGCCTTATTCTGAAATTTTTTTGCTTTTTTTTTTTTTTTTTTTTTTGCTTTTTTTTTTACAACCAGCTCTGGGCATGGATTTTTTATTTTTCATTTTCATTTTTATTTTTTTTAAGGCAGGAAGGTTCTCGCTGTGTTGCAGGCTGGACTCCAACTCCTGGGCTCAAGGGATCCTCGCTTCTCAGCCATAGCTGAGACTGCGTGCCTCTGCCACTACGTTCTTATTCTGAATTTTTAATATCTGATTTGATCATCCCCCATAATTACAGCCAAGATGTTCTTATCTCCTGGCTCTTGTTCATCAGCTCAGCTTCTTTTTTTCCTCTAAAATATGTCGTCTCTATCTGACAGTCTATTCGGAGGAAAAGAAAACCGTAAGACACAAGGTGGACCCTTCTCTGGTAACAGTAACGAGATAAGAATACGAAGCAGGTTCTGCGACTGCATTGCAATGTGATTGGAATGAGTAATCGTTTTTCATTCTGTATGGCATCTTTCTCCACCTACCGAATGCGGGGCCGTGCCATCTCTGCCTCTCGGTGAGGAGATATTACGACATAGCCAGAGAGATTCACAAAGCATCTTGCAGAGTGGGCCTACTCTACACTCTGGTTTTCACTTTTTATTGGAGTCACAGGTGGGAATGCACCAAACAAAAGACATAGGCTCTGGAATGTATGGGAAAGGGAGTTTCCAGCTAATGGAAGCACAAAGAAATTTCTATCGTTAAAATGCATAATCTACCGACCCTAAAACATTCACATGAAGAGGTAGGAGGCAGTACTACCCCGCAGCTCCCCAATTCGGCCGCAATCGTGGGCGGGGCTTGGGGCTTGGTCACGCCCCTTGAATCTGGTCCCAAAGGACGCTCCTCACCCCGCCGCGCGCGAGGCGCCGCGTGAGACCGGCTTTGCCCCTGCTTCCCAGCAGGGGGGCGGAGAAACCGTTCTTGCGCCTGCGCTCTGCACCACTGCGCGCTTTGGCACCCACTCGAGGGCCTTTGTGCGCGTGCGCGCTCGCGCTCCCGCCCTCTCGCTGCGCTCGGCTGAGTCAGTCAGTCAGTCTGTCGGAGTCTGTCCCGGGAGCAGGCAGAGTGAAGGGACTTGGGCAAGCCAGTTGCCGGATTATTTTATTTTCCCTCCCTTTCTTCCGCCCCGTGTCTCTCTTCACCCTTCTCCCGCCCTCGCTCGCGTAGCCATGGCGGAGCCGTCGGCGGTCACTCAGTCCCCTTCCATCTCCTCCTCGTCCTCCGGAGCCGAGCCGTCTGCGCTCGGCGGCGGCGGCGGGAGCCCGGGAGGCTGCCCCGCCCTGGGAACGAAGAGCTGCAGCTCCTCCTGTGCGGGTGAGGCGCGCGGGGAGCCCCCGCCCTGGGAAGCAGGGCGAGCGGGGGGCCCCGGGAACTGGGGGAATTAGGAGGCGAGGCGGGAGGAGGGCGAATTACCCTGGACTACTGACGGCTTCAGCCCCTGGGGAAGAGCGTTTGGAAAATGGGCAAAGGGGAAGGGGAACATAAGGTTGTGCAGGCGGTGAGGAAATAACGGGGTGTGAGGAAAACAGGTTGGGGGCGGGGAGATAGTCCAGTGGGCGTTAACGCCAAGACTGGGCAGGTGGGAAAAATACCAGCTCGTGGGATAAAATGGAGAATTGCTTGATACATATGGTGAACCGGGGTGATTTAGTGGAGGATTAGAGAGATCGAGAGGATAGGGGCAGGTGGATGGTGGGAGAAACGATTTGTTACGATTTTTGAGGGGATGGTGGTGAAAGGGTTGCATTGCAGGTGTGCAGACAGGTGTTGACATAATCAAATATTCACGATAGTCCCCCAAAATATTTTTGACTGCCCATAGGGAGGATGAGGAAGTTTAATGGAAGCATTGTAGCTTTTTCTTCTTCTTTTTAATGTTTTCGGATAGACTCCATGAATGCCGGATTTTTCTGAGGCTCCGAGGTAGAAGGAGGCGTGATGAGAATAGCTCAGGGAAGATTTGGGAGGGAGCTGCTGATGGTCCAAGATGGATCCGTGGCTGTATCTGCAACAGCCTGCACTTCCCTGGCGCTGCGTGGGGGTGGGAACACGCAATCAGTCGCTTATATTCTAGAAAATAGAGTCATGCTAAGCCATCAACATGTTTTGATTTCATGTTTTCTGTGGGCTACTGTTAATCGAAGTATAACAAAGGGGGGTGTTTACTGCAGAAAGGGGGAGGGGGAGAACATTCAGACAAAGCATGGGCTGGTTGAGTCCCCTTCTCCCATCTCTGTGAAAGACTAAGAGGGAAGCTGCAGGCCTCCTTTAGTTTCCATTGTATACGCTTCTGCCTGCTGGTGGGAGCTGGCTGGCAAGCTCCCCTTATGCAGAAATCTGCAGTGCAGATGCCTTCTTAAGGAAAACACACAAACACACACACACACACACACACACACACACACACCATTGGCAGGTGGTGGTTCTTAAAGGAACTGAGTCTTTGAAGAAAAAAATGCGTTTTGTCAAAGGAAGGTCCGTAAATTTAAGAGTAGAGATAATTCTGCTCTCTATTTAGTTATGTTAAAAGATTTTGAGAATTTTTTTAATGCTTCATTGTCTTCTTTGGCAGAATCTTGGGTTCTAAATAAAAAATTTCTGCTCTTAACCTTAAATGCGTTATTCTCTACATGTTTTTCTAACAGTGAATTTCCACCTGTCTGAGAGCTTTGGAGCCCTGTTGGATTTTTCAATGTGGCTATGGCCATTTCAGTAGAAACAAGCAATATCAGGAAGCTTTTGCAGATAAAAGAATGAGGCAGCAAATTTGGAACCTGTGTCCCCTTTAAACCACCAGCGTTTCTCCTCCCAAATTTTGCGTTCTGGGCTAAGGTCCAGATGAACAGTGGCATCCTTATAACTTAGCAACTTGATCTTTTTGCTTTAATCACTTGTCATTGCGTACTGTTTGTTAGGTCCTTTTATACATACCTTTTGGGTTTTCTCGATTTTTCATTTTTGATTCAGACCTAAGTTTTAGAAATTTGGCCCTGTAAGCTCAAGATAAGACAGATGTTAAGTGAACAGTCATTGTAGTTAGCAGATATGAAAATTTAGTCCTAGTTTTCATAGATATGCATATGTGGTATGCCTTTGTGTTTGTGAAGAAAATACTCTTATTTCATTGGCCCTGATTTCACCATTTGAGATTCAACCTTTCTATTCCTTTAATGCACTTACGGAAGAATTGGCCTAGTAGGCCAATGAAATGAGTATTTTGTTGACAGATATGAAGGCATACCACAACATAATTGGGACCTAAATTGGCAATACGAATTTAATGACATAATTCTGTTTGGCTCATCTTTTTTTATCTCATCTACCCTTGTCATAGTTTTTACCTGTTTATTGTGTATTTTTTGCACTCTTATTTATGATAGTGGAAAAATTATGTGCTGAAATTATGTATTTTGCCGAAAGGTGTAGAATTTATATTCTGAAATGCTGTTCCAAATACATGAGCTTGCATTACATTTTCCTAATAATGTTAAATGCCTCAGTTTTCACTAATTTCTTTCTCTTTTTTTTTGAGACAGGGTCTTGCTCTGTCACAGGCTGAAATGTGGTGGCTCCCTGCAACCCTCCGCCTCCAGGGTTCAAACAATTCTCATGCTTCAGCCACCTGAGTAGCTGGGATTGCAGGCATGCACCTGGCTAATTTTTATATCTTTAGTAGAGATAGGGTTTTACCATGTTGGCCAGGTTGGTCTCAAACTCCTAGCCTCATGTGATCTGCCTGCCTCAGCCTCCCAAAGTGCTGGGATTACAGGTGTGAGCCACCATGACCAGCTTTACCCATTATTTCTTAGTAAAATTTGATCACAGAATTTGTATTTCTTTGATGTGCTGTAGTCACTTGTCATTATTGGCAGTTAAAACAGTATTATATAGTAGTACTTGACACGTATTTGTTGAATAAACGATCAAATTTATGAGCTAGAAAAGCACACTTGAAAAATAAACTAAAGAGAGACTCTGTCTTGTTTGTTGTTTTTGAGACAGAGTCTCATTCTGTAGCCCAGGCTGGAGTGCAGCGGCGTCATCTTGGCTCACTGCAACCTCCTTCTCCCAGGCTCTATTGATGGTCCTGCCTCAGCCTCTTGAGTAGGTGGAATTACAAATGTGCACCACCATGCCCAGCTAATTTGTGCACTTTTAGTAGATATGGGGTTTTACCACGTTGGCCAGGCAGGTCTTCAACTCCTGACCTCAACTGATCCACCCACCTCGGCCTCCAAAAGTATTGGGATTATAGGCACGAGCCACTGTTCTGCCGAGAGACTGTATCTTAAATGCTTATTCATTGCAAATGTGCATTCATATTGTGTAAAAAGCACTAATATAGTTTTGGTGGGCCCGATGCAAGATCCTCATTTGTCAGGTCACTACTTGAACATAAAAGTTTACCTTAAGATACTGTAATATGTATCTTAAGGTAATGCCTGTAGTCCCAGCACTTTGGGAGGCAGAGGCAGTCAATCACCTGAGGTTAGGAGTTAGAGACCAGCCTGAGCAACATGGTGAAACTTCACTTCTACTAAAAAATACAAAAATTAGCCAAGCATGTCTTAGGCACCTATAATCCCAGCTAATCAGGAGGCTGAGGCAGTAGAATTGCTTGAACCCAAGAGGCAGAGGTAGCACTGAGCCGAGATCTCACCACTGCACTCCAGCCTGGGAGACAGAGTAAAACTCTGTTAAAAAAAAAAAAAAAAAAGAAGATGCTGCAATGTATAGTAATGATTTTATTGCAGAAACCCTTCCTCCTTGCAGGATGTTTTCTCCATGTCACAGCGGAACTATCTCAGGCTTTTGCACCATGAAAATAAGATGAAGTTTGTTATTTCAAAATTTGGCTTATTTAAAATATAGATGGTAAAAAATTACCTTGTTTAAAAAAAAGTCTGCAAGTATTGCTGTCAACCTCCAACTTCATTTCACCAAGCTCTTCTTAGTTTTGGAGACTCATCTTGGTTTTAGTTAAAGAAAAATAAGTGATTGCTTGGTGTCCTGCAGAAAATAATTTTGTCTTGACTGACCTGTCCAGTAATGAATTGTAGAAATATTAGTTCCTATATACAGGTAGAGAATGAGTGATGGCATTCTGTGCTTTAGTGCCTTAGATTCTAGCGCAGCCAGCAATGTAGTATGCTTAGAGAAGGGGATTGGGGCCAGTGTGGCTTCCTATATTCTCTGTCTTTGAAGGACACTGAAGACTTCAGAGGCAGAAATTTGAAGTTGAGGTAAAAGAGACTGAAATATTTACTGTTCATTTCAAAACAAGAGTTTCCTTTATTATTTATTAATTATTTCCTTTATCTCAAGTATAGTCACGTCTATTTAAAAGTGCTTTAATAATTTACTATTGACATGATGTTGAAATTCTATAACTTGCTAGAGAATGCTCTCTTTATTGTTGTTATGAAACTTGGCTAAGGGCAGTGGGGGGATTGCGTGAGCTCACGAGTTTGAGACCAGCCTGGACTATATGGTGAAACCCTGTCTCTACGCACACACACATACACACACACACACACACACACACGCACGCATGCGTGTGCAAGCGCGAAAATTAGCCAGGCATGGTGATGTGCATCTGTAGTCCCAGCCACTTGGGAGGCTGAGTTGGGAGGATGGCTTGAATTGGGGGTGGAGGTTGCAGTGAGCTGAGATTGTGCCACTCCACTCTGGCCTGGGTGACAGAGCCAGACCTCGTCTTAAAAAAGAAAACTAGGCCGGGCGCAGTGGCTCATGCCTGTAATCTCAGCACTTTGGGAGGCCGAGGCGGGCGGATCACCCGAGGTCAGGAGTTCAAGACCAGCCTGGCCAACACAGTGAAACCCTGTCTTTAAAAAAAAATTTTTTTAAGTAAATAAAAAAGAAAAGTAAAAAAAAAAAAAAAAAAAAATCATGATTCCAAAATAAGACTACATTTTATATGTTGGCTCATGGAAATTAGCTCAAAGCAAAACAGCTTGGCCAATTTTTTTATAAAGGTTTTGCTTTAAATATTTCTTTCCTCACTCCTCATGAAACTTAGTTCTGTGTACTTTTTTTTTATTTGAGACGAAGTTTCGCTCTTGTTACCCAGGCTGGAGTGCAATGGCGCCATCTCGGCTCACCGCAACCTCTGCCTCCTGGGTTCAAGCAATTCTCCTGCCTCAGCCTCCCGAGTAGCTGGGACTACAGGCACGCGCCACCATGCCCAGCTAATTTTTGTATTTTTAGTAGAGACGGGGTTTCACCATGTTAACCAGGATGGTCTCGATCTCTTGACCTTGTGATCCACCCACCTTGGCCTCCCAAGTACTTTT